AAGCCCTTACAGCTTTCATTGTAGTCAGCCCAAGATGGAAACAAATACAACAACTCGCACACAAAAAAAAGGAAGTTTATGTCGATGCGCCCTACTACCAGCTTCCCATGCACCATCATTCATTCCATTTTAAACATAATGGCTAACTGACGATATAACGCATGGCGCATGACGGACAAACACTCCTCTGTTTAAAATATGTCGCAAATATCCAACCATTCACGTGAACTACGTCCTAGGCGTCTTTATTATTGTGTGTATAGCGAGGATTGTATATACGGAAATGGGCGGAGATGATTTCATTTACCAAACTGTTATTCTTGCACTTTTGACTTACAGTAATGTAACGTTTCGAGATCAAACTGAGCATCGCTTCATGTCGTTCTAAATGCTTCTTATGCTGGGCCAACAGATAAGGTTGGACAGCACTGACACTGATACTATCTGGAAACTGTTAATTCTATTCCTTGTTGTTTCAATATCATAATTGTATCGTGAAAGACTTAAATATGAATTTATTACATGATGTTTATTATCATTTAATTTAATTCACTACAGAACGCCTTCATTGTTCTTGAAATGACGTTTAACCAAAGTGGTCAACGTGTGACACATGAATCACTTTGGGCTTTCTTCCCACATCAAACTGACACTCCTTGTGGATCGATGCTCATGATGTCAATCACTGGATTGTCTGGTCCAGACGCGATTGTTTAGAGACTGCCATCATACAGCTGGAATAATGCTGAGTGCGGAGTTACACAACAAACAAACAAAAAACAGAGTCATCGCGAAAAACACTTAAGTTGGTGTGTAATAAAAAACATCAATCACGAATCATAAGGACGAACTTCTGAAATGCTGAAAACTCCTGCGCTTCTCAATAACTCTTTTATCTATTAGTGTGAATTCATATTTCTCCCTGGATGTTTTATCTTAAACTGCCTGAATACTTTGCGTTCATGCCAACATCCTTTCCTACAGTGTACGTGATCACTGTTGGGTGACCAACGCAACAGAAAATGTCTTTCCACTAATGCAAACGTAACTGCCATATACACTTTAATAGAATAGAGCAACAAAAACATGTATGTGATCTAGATTTCAAGTGTGGATGTGCAAGTGACGGTGGTTCAGAGTGTGAGTTGTGGTGGTGGTGGTGGTGGTGGTTGTTGTTGTTGTGGTTGTTGTTGTTATTGTTGTTGTTTAACGCCGGTCTGTAAATAATTTAGTCTGGGCCAGACAATCTAGTGATTTGTATCATGAACATCGATCCACTTAATGTGGGATACGATATGACGCATCAACCAAGTCAGTGAGCCTGACCTCCTGATCCCGTTAGTGGCCTCTTTCGACAAGCATAGTCTCCTCTTACGACATGGGTTGCTGAAGATCTGTTCTAACCCGTATGTTCACGGCGGATTCCAAAACTATGTATATCATCGTCATATTAGTGATAGACAATTTCCTTTAGTTGGTATGGCCTTGTGCTAGTATGGCCGTAAGCCCACTGAGATGCCATGCTGCAGTATAAAATGTCTCCCTATTCAAACAGTATACTGACTAAGCGGAAAAAACCCTTCGTTTATCCTCTTAATGCTAAATGCCAACAGGGTTACAACAAATATAATCTTTTAACGTATTTGGGTACGCCCCTGCAATGTTCTTGGAGAATGAGGATGTCAGCATCGATCTTCCCTTTTTGTTTGACAACCAGAGACTGTGAGGCATTAAGTGTATTTGCCTTCAGTAGCATTATTTCGAGAGTACATGATCGGTCGTTTCTGAAAAAGACATTGTATGTGATTTTTTATGCCCCTTCGTTTTTAACAGTCCATCTTTAAGAGTGTTGGTTGGGTCAACTGTGTAACAAACTATTATTCCAATGAAACCAAACACGTTTCCTTCATATCATTGCATGTGGAACACACACACCTACTTTGTTGATACCTGCATGAAATGCCTTTGTTGACTCGTGCTAGATTTGAGACTAAAGGAAACACCATTTACGGTAATTTAACTATATGCCTCGCAACGTGACTCAAGTTTCTTGAGAGAGAAACAATGTCATGACATGGAAGAGTGTTTGCCATGATCTTTATTAACTGTACTATGACTTTAATAATGATCTTCACTCATGACGGGTTTTTTCCAGTGTGGTAGAGCATGTTCAGCCAATCACACACACCTGGTGTCGTCGCTGAAACCCTTTGTGATTAATACTTTTGAATTTGTTGCTTTCATACCTTTTTTACTTTGATTTAAATAGTAAATGTCATAAGAAAAGGATTAACCAAGTCATAGCAGAGCGATGCTTCTTATTCATTTATATAACATTCCTACGTAAGATGAAGATTGGACAATTATTGTTGTGTATAACTTTATATATGGATTCTCAGATACAGACTCAAAGGAGATTAATACAGAAAAAATGTATATCGAAACGTTTACGCATACGAATTACCAACGGATAGAGATGCTTGATAGACTGTTTACATTGAATTTGATTTCTTTCTTTTGTTATATCTGCTCTTTGTGTCTCTGACAATATTTAACCGTAATCTTATAAAGTGTATGCTCTGCTCAAGTGTCGCAGTCATAATCTTTAAGCGAACCCTGTCCTCACACTTATATAGTTTAGGACAACTCGTTATACATTATATGAATTTATGCAAGAATATGTGATTTGTGTTATATCCAGATAAAACATGATTTAACATTAACATTTAGGACAACTCGTTGTACATCATATGAATTTATGCAAGAATAAGTGATTTGTGTTACATATGTGTATACATATGCGTCTTTGCAGGAAGGGGGTGCCTCATTAGGTAACATCAGGGGTCACTGGAGGAACGGTGGCCCATACCCGCCACTGGTGAGATCATTTCCCCCTGTATGCCTCTACATTTTATCTCGCGGCCACCAGATACTTCCACTGGTGAGATAAAATATAGAGGTATACAGGGGAAAATGATCTCACCAGTGGAAGTATCTGGCGGCCGCCAGACAAAATATAGACGCATACAGTGAAAAATGATCTCACCAGTGGCGGGTCTGGACCACCGTACTGGAGTCGTTATCATGGACTCAACTTTTTTTCACAAACGAATAAATATATAGACGAATACAATGCTATTTTTGGAAACGTTGACAATCAAAGTCCGATTCATTCACGTTACATCCGCAAGACGCTGAAAAGGATACGCCTCCAGTTGAATATGTCAGGCTTGGATATTAGGATATTAAAGTTATTATCTTTCTGTCAATATTGCACTGGATTATAATAGTTTCCAAGATTTGTAACGTTTAATATACATAAATGATTATCTTTATTGCGCTGTTTAACGGTGATTCAGAACCCGTGGTATTTCATTAACAGCTGAAAACAGAATTCCCTCTTTGTTCAGTCATGGTTGAATATGTATAGCCAGAATACTGAAAGCGTTTACTGAAATATCAGTAGAATATACGAATGTGGTATAGATGTCTTAGAAAGATCAAGGGATTTTTTTTAGCCTTAGCATGTGTCCATATCTTTTGCAAAAAATCCAGTCAACAATACATCGGATGGCTTCCCTTTAACATTCTCTGGACATAACGTGTATAGAGTGCACATAGACTGGTAACGAGGACTGGCACCCAAAATTAATAGAATGGGATAAAATGCTTGTATTGTCTGTAATGTGCAGGGAGTGAGACAGCCTCATCTGTTTCATCTTATCAAAACTGATCCTCAGATGCAATTCCCAATTGCGAATTGGGCCAAATGTTCCCGTTTTTCTTCAGGTGAATATCTGGCATGTGTTTGTCGCGGGTAGAACGGATTCAGAAGGATATGCTGCATTAACGTATGTCACTAAATGTACGGGGTGATAAATATTACATTCCAAATCACTTCCCTCGTATTGAGTGACACCCCATTGCTTTTCCGTAGTGCATTACCCAGCAGCCACAAAACATTGTTCTGTTGAAATTTGGTTGATCTGAGGCTGCTACGTTCAAAAACATTGTATTGACATTGTTTCAACATTGGCCTTTCGATAGTTGAAAACATGTTGAATCTGATATTGTTTCAACATTGAAGAGTAATCTAAAAACGATGATATCTCAGAAAACAATGAATTCTGCAATACTTAATTAAAAATTTATATTTTTTGTCGTTGGAATCAATATATCTAGACTCTAGATTGTATGTTTTGTACCACATAATGATGATATAAAGACGTATTACATATCATAAATATAGATAAACATTTGGTTTAACAATGCTAATACAGATATTTTATATACTTTCGTGAGACATAGAAAGTATTACCGACATACAGTGATTTACTTTACCGAAACTGCCAGGACATCTCGCATTTCAACTGAACATTCCGGCGTGTATTTGGACATTGTAACCTCAGATAATTTAACCATAGAACGACCGAGTGATGTCAAATGAAACAAACATGCACACTGTATGAACGCGCGATTTTTTTCCAAACAAAGGAGGTGATGCTGGTATATGACAGATCAAAAGTGACACTGGATTCTCTCAAAATGCAGCATTCCACCCATATTAACCAAGTAGAAAAACGGCGTATGATATGGCGACACTGGCATGCCCCCAACACAATATGAGTCCTGGCAAGGGTCCTCTAGTATCCAGGAAGGTGCAACCCTTATTGGAGTAGACTTTTGGAGTCCATTTGACCTGTTTATATTGTCTTTTTTAGATGTATGTGTCAGTGCAACCAATATCCATCCAATACCCAACCAAAAATCAACAATATTTCAACATTGATATCTGATGTCCATTCAACGTCAATATTTCAAATCCAATCAAAGATCAATGTCATTTCAACGTTGAAGGACGGCATTGATTCAACATTAATTCAACATTATTGTGACTGCTGGGTTAATTACAATTTGCAATTCGCTATTGTTTCAAATGTATGCTGCACCACATAAGTGGTATCCAAAATGTCCACTAAAGAGAAAAAAGACACTTGTCGATCATTTACTCCAATTAGTTTATTTTTTAAAGAGACACATATACAAACAACTACTATGCTAATTCTAGTAGACGTTGATAATCTGGTCGATTCAAGTTACATCCGCCTCAAGAACAGATTCTGAAAAATAGATAAGTCTTTAGTTGAGTCATGCAAGTGAATCAGTGCAAAAATGTATTACGTCATTGTAAACTTCTATAACTTAATATACAATAGCATAGGTCAGGATTGAGATAAAATTCATTCACAAGAAATATCATATTTAAGATAGTTCCTGATGATAAAGGCATTTTGTAAATGTGTTTATTGCTTTGATATGGCTCGAAGGGATTGATGCATACCTTGCTTAATGGTGATTCATAACTTGTAGACTTAACTATTTCATTAATATCTGAAAAAATAAAAATGACATCAATTGCAGGACAAACTATCATATCAAACCATTTCCTAAATATGTAGTCATAGTTCAATATGTCTAGTCATATGATGACAAACTTGATTCCTGTAGTCTGAGACATTGATAATGGATAGCATGATTGTTTGGCGTTAACATCACATAAAAGCATTTATTGGGAGAAATGCTTTTATTCAGATCAATTGTCTGTATGATTATAATACAATTTTCTATATTTCTAATGTTTTTTATCTTGTTCTTACAATGCTACCTTTTGAAGGAAGTCTGTCACCAGTGCAGTAGATGGCTTCCCTTTAACATTCTCTGGGCATAATGTGGCGAGAGTGCAAAGGCCCTCGGGATCCTAAAGCATGAAAAAACGGTGGACTGCTCATGACGACTGGCATCAAGATTACAACATTTAAAAATACTTCAGATTAAAAAAGAATAAAATAATATACTAATCTGTCTAACTGTACAATAGACCGAAATGTCAAACACACGCACGCACGCACGCACGCACGCATTCACACACACACATACACACACACACACATACACACACACACACACACACACACACACACTCCACCTTTCAAAACATACAAATGATTTCTATAATTTTAATCTTTTTGTATTTGGAATATCTACTGATGGAAATGTTTTAAGTAACATGTAGTTGTACCTCGAATTAGAAGTTGACAATTTGTTCATTTAAGCCCATGATAAAGTCATGATACCTGTGATATCCAATTCTTATATGAATGGAATCGATAAACTGTAAAACGTTTTTCTTACCGCGTTTTCAACAATGTAATCCAGAACCCCGGGTATCAGAGCACGGACCTCAGCAGTACACTAAAACAAAGTAAAGAAGTCAGCAGTTGAATATTGTTTTAAAACAACTTTAACAACTACGTTGTGCATTATCAAATTAATTGGCATTCGCTACACATGCATTTATACGTGTTATGGAAGTCTTGCATCATTTCGTTTCACAGCAAGTTATTTCTAAGAAGACAAAAGAAATAATGCAAACCAATATGTGTGGCTGAAACAATATGTGTGTCCAGGTATCATGTAGCCACTGTATGTTTAAGAAGAAGCAACAACAAGTTTATTCAGGGACTACAACGATCTTAGCTGCTTAAGATTGGTCCGGACCAATTGTAAGTTTCGATTGTAACTTACAATGATCTTAGCCTACAATCGTTTTGTGCAAGTGGACGACGATTGTACCCGAAGCCAAAGATCGCGATCTTAAGGATTTATAATAATTGTAGCGCTAAGATCGCTTTGTGCAAGTGGAACCAGGTATGCTATAGCCACTGTATGTTTAAGAAGAAGCAACAACATTAACATGATAGTCAATGTGTTTGACTGAAATACGTATTTCAATAGTAAGAAGAGTGGAACATAAGAACAAATAGGTAAACACTTACGACTTCCTCCAGAAAATAAGCAGAAAGTGGACTGCAAATTACATGGTCGAAATACGTCTCCACTTCCTCCTGCATAATACATTAGACACACTTGTCATTTAGGGCCTAATCCAACAACAACATTAGTAATGATTGCTTATTTGAATTATACACGTTGACATGTGCCCTGTGCGATAATTGGACATGTTGTCTCGGTAACTGTTTGCGATGGTATACACAAAGTTTATCAGACCAACAACTTGTCAAGCTAATTCGATTAAAATGCAATTTATGGACAGTAAGGAGGTACAAAAACTTATTCACGCTAATTCAATATGAGCGTTTTACCTTCACTTCATCTGTGTTCAAACTCGCAATGAAACTATCAACGACTTCAATGCAGTTTGTACAAGAATCATCACCCTGGAAGAAAACAGAACCCCTTTGTGTATGTTTTTTAATTGTACATAAGTTGGGTTTAATCACACAATGACTCGTCGACTATTGCGCATACAGAATAAACAATCACTGTTTTTAGTCAATGACAGGTACACCAATGACTCACTCATCGAGGTCAACATAAATAGCTATACAGAGATGTGTTGTGAGTATCTCTTAAACCCTGATCTATGTTTCACGGGGGTTCAAATGTCAGATCTTTGGTTTGTCAAAAGCATCGCTGTGCCATTGGTGCTAATTACTATCTGTGACATTCGTCCAACTTTAATATAACTGACATACAGTTTAAAGCGGGAATAAATCCAACACATTCACACAAGTCATTACCGTTTGTACATCGGCATTTGTAACCATCTTGAAGTGATTATTAAGCTTCTCAGGACACAACATTGCCAAACTGCACAAGACCTCAGGATCCTGAAACATATAGAATTAAATATTTTAAATTTACACTTTTAGTTTCTTTATCTTACATTAATATTTATATTCTTCCTGCTCTTCAGACGATTTCTGTTTGTAGTTTATAATTACTCACTTTCACGTGTTACATACAATGATAAATAGGCCATCATGTCTCCCCTGACTTACCGCGTTCTCCACAACATACTCCAGAAGACCTGGAACAAGCCCATGAACAGCAGAGTTACACTAAAACAAGAAGATACAATGGTAAGACTCGTGACATAATGGCAATACAGTATTCCATTCATATTGTCCTAAGTACATGTAAAGCCAAAATCCTACCTCTGTCAGGCGATTAGTCTCCAAGTCATCGTTTACATATTTTTTGCACTACCTCATTGATAACATCTATGAACAATGTTGGGGAAATATTTTAGGAAAGAAGTAGGCATTCCCAAAGGCACCAATTGTGAGCCCCTTCTTGCTGATGTGTTTCTTTATGCATATGAATCAGTGAGTGAGTGAGTGAGTGAGTGAGTGAGTTCGGTTTAACATCGCTTTTAACATTATTCCAGTTATATCACGGCGTGTCAGCTTAATCCGGGAGGAAAGCTCGAAGTGATGTAGGTCTCAGACGTTTACTACTTCGGTGAAACCCACGAGCACGGGTATGGTGCTGACAAATCTAGAAATCTGATCGGGACGAGCCGGGATTCGAACCTTCATTCATAGGTTTCTGGCGTGCCCAAGGGACGCATCTCTGCACATCGAATCGCGGCGACTTCGACGATTGGGCCACCCGACTACTTTTTTCAGAGATTTCTTATGAATATGGAAAGAGTTTTTCTTGGCATAAGTCTACTATTTCATGGTTCAACAATTTCCATTCTACCATCATCACAACATTTACTTACAGTTTCTGTGAGGAGGTATGAGGATAGATGAGAACATATTTCATCCTTTAGGAATTGTTCTACCATCTCCTGAAATACAAACAAAGTTGCCCTTAAGCTGCCCACATTGTACCGAGGTAGGGATTCGGACGGCGAACGCGTTAACCTCTAGCCTTCCACCTTTTTAGACGTTTTCTCGTTAGTGAATCTAACTGAACTCGTTTTCATAGTTGAACTAAATTCGTGTTCATGCTTTATCATGGAAGGATTCAACGGCTGCACAATTATTACTTTATTCCCTTCTCATCAAACCCCGTCATCAACGTAGGCAATTGTGAAATTGGAAAAGGGAAGAAGTTCCTTTTCATATGTCTTGCAAGTTGATGTGCCTTTCCGAGATTATTTCACTGCAAGTCCCACAAGCCACGTGGCGAACAATGGATCGACGTCAGCGATTCGAATCTACAATCGTCAGATTTACAAAGCAAACATCGCCTCTATAGAAGACTTTTGAAACCCATGCTCCCGTATTTCGAGGCAATGCAGTAATATACAACTACAAGTCATTTTATTAAATGCCAATAAATAGAGCAGTTCATTTATTTGACAAGCAGGAAGTAGGCACTGCTCAATCGATTTCTAATTTATTCAAGTACCATGACTCACCACGCCTTCATCTGTATCCAATCTGGCAATTACCGCGTTGAGGGTTTCCTTACAGTTCGTACACGCATCGTCATCCTTTGAAATGATGCAGAAGAAACCCACTAGTATCATATCATATGTGAAACGGTTTTTTCTCTTATTAGCAGTTCATTTTGTACTGCACACTGACTTTGAAAATAGAAATAACGATTACAACACACACACGTTTATAAGTTTTGCATATATAGTTGTCAGGTGAGTAGAGAGTTTACCTCCGTTGACGATGTTCCTAGTTGTCTTATATTCCAGTTATTAGGCAGCGATATAGCTGAAACAAATATGGAGTTTATAAGTCAAATGTGTATGAGTTGGTAAAATATCCCGTGCACAAATATACAAAGGTTGACATATAATCAACCAACCAATTTACCTGACCCAACGGAGACACAAAGGGCAATAATGAGAATCGAAGTATTCATTTTCGGGGATGAACGTAAACACGACGTTGATGTCAAGTCAGACTGTTTGATGCAAACGCCATGGAGGTTTATATACTCAAGCTAGGGTGACAGCATGTGCAACTCGACACTAATTAATTTTCCCATATGTCTTTTAATGGGTGCGTTTGGCAATTTTGAAGAGATCATTACCCTTTTTAGTTGGTGCTAATAAAGCCAGTTGCCTAGTTAAAAGTGTCAGACATGTAAAATTGATATAGTCAACATGCCTATTCCAATATGCTTAACAACATGTGGAATTGATATATTCAATTTCAATATATGTTTCGCAATAGCCATCATGTGTATATCGATATTGGCACACCTTTACATTATATGCTTCATAATTTATTTTTAATGAATCAGTTTCTTGTCGTGATGAATAACAATACTATTTATTGCCACGGACATAATGTCGGCGGTCGTATTTTAAGAGTAAGGTAATGTGTAATGTGTTCAATTCTGATTTGGAAGCTGCGATAATGAGAGACTTTAGAAATTTAACAGAATTCAAAACATCTATGACAGAGAATAATCAGTTTCACATTTCTAACGAAAACATAAGGTGTAAAAGGTAAAATAATGATGAATATTACATGTATGCAATCGAGTATAGACCAGACACTCCAGTGATTGATATTATGAGCAGTTATCCACGTCGTCGGGGTACGACGGGAGGCTGTCAACCAAGACAACAAGCCTGACCATCCGTCCCAATTAAAGTAAGTGCCAGGAGGTGTGAGATTTTCTACTTTAAAATGTATTGTATTTCATCCTTACCTAATCTGAAAGTACTATGTTTTTACTCTGACGATTGCAAACTACGACATCATCATAAGGAGAAATGACAAAGTTCAGCTTTTCTTGTTCAAAGAAGTTCACGATTGAATATGCCTGTAACAGAACATTAAGCCCCACTACCAATTAGATGTACACATATCAAAATGGCATTACATTTTGAACAGAAATGGCCGAATAATGGACATAAATTTCAGATTTCAGCGTTGTCAGAGTTGAAAGATCAAATAAAGATCAGAACCTAATACATGGCAAAACGGAACACACATGTTGAACCCCACTTCTAACTACATACATACCAAATTTCGTTTGAGTAATAGCCAGAAATAGGTTTTCCAATATGATTTTCTCGTAGTGGTGATATTGAAATCGGATTTCAACCTTTCCTTTAGATTCAGGTGGCATCATTTGTTGGAAGCTTCAACTTCATTGGTCCAGTGGATTCTGATGAAATTATGTTTGTATTGGTAGGAAATGCAATTTGAGAGAATTTGGGAGCATGGTCAAAAGGATGAAAACATATATTATTATTATTAAAAAAAAGGAATACATCTTTGTCGAGTCCTACAGCCTTGTTGAATACCATGTTCTATTACATTTTGTCCAGATTTCCCACAAGCAGTTACAGCTTTCACTGTAGTCAGCCCAAGATGGAAACAAATACAACAACTCGCACACAAAAAAAGGAAATTGATGTCGATGCGCCCTACTACCAGTTTCCCATGCACCATGATTCATTCCATTTTAAACATAATGGCTAACTAACGAAATAACGCATGGCGCATGACGGACAAACACTCCTCTGTTTAAAATATGTCGCAAATATCCAACCATTCACGTGAACTACGTCCTCGGCGTCTTTATTATTGTGTGTATAGCGAGGATTGTATATACGGACATGGAGACAGATGATTTCATTTACCAAACTGTTATTCTTGCACTTTTGACTTACAGCAATGTAACGTTTCGAGATCAAAACAACATTATAAGATTTGACAGCACTGACACTGATACTATCTGGAAACTGTTAACTCTATTCCTTGTTGTTTCAATATCATAAGTTTATCGTGAAAGACTTAAATATGAATTTATTACATGATGTTTGTTATCTTTTAATTTAATTCACTACATAACGCCTTTGTTGTTCTTGAAATGACGTTTAACCAAAGTGGTCAACGTGTGACACATGCATTACTTTGGGCTTTCCTCCCACATCAAACTGACACTCCTTGTCGATCGATGCTCATGATGTCAATCACTGGATTGTCTGGTCCAGACTCGATTATTTACAGACTGCCATCATACAGCCGGAATAATGCTGAGTGCGGAGTCATCGGGAAAAACACTTAAGTTGGTGTGTACTCAAATCATCAATCACGAATCATAGGGACAAACTTCTGATATGCTGAAAACGCCTGCACTTCTCAATAGTCAGTACACTATCACTAACGTGACATTCAACGCTTGTTCGCGTGCATGACATGTCACTCCTGTTATTAGTGTGAATTCATATATTTATCTTAAACTGCCTGAATACTTTGCGTTCATGCCAACATCATTTCCTACAGAGTACGTAATCACTGTTGGGTGACCAATGCAACAGAAAATGTCTTTCCACTTGTTGTTTAACGCCGCACTCAGGTATATTCCAGCTATATGACGGCGGTCTGTAAATAATTGAGTCTGGACCAGACAATCCAGTGATTAATATCATGAGCATCGATCCACCCAATTGGGATCGATGACATGTATCAACCAAGTCAGCAAGCCTGACCACCCGATTCCGTTAGTCGCCTTTTACGAAAAGCATAGTCACCTTTTACGGCAAGCATGGGTTGCTAAAGACCTATTCTACCCCGGAATCTTCACGGAAGTCCACTAAGGCAAACGATACTGTTATATATACTTTAATAGAATAGAGCAACAAAAACATGTATGTGATCTAGATTTCAAGTGTGGATGTGCAAGTGACGGTGGCTCAGAGTGTGAGTTGTTGTTGTTGTTGTTGTTGTTGTTGTTGTTTAACGCCGGTCTGTAAATAATCGAGTCTGGACCAGACAATCTAGTGATTAGTATCATGAACATCGATCCACTTAATGTGGGATACGATGACATGCCTCAGCCAAGTCAGTGAGCCTGACCTCCTCATCCCGTTAATCGCCTCTTACGACAAGCATGGGTTGCTGAAGATCGTTTCTAACCAGTATCTTCACGGCGGATTCCAAACTACCGGTACGTATATCATCGCCATATAAGTGATGGACAATTTCCTGTAGTTGGTATTGCCTTGTGCTAGTATGGCAGTAAGCCAGTTTTACAGTGCTAGCCCACTGAGAGGCCATACTACAGTTTAAAATGTCTCCCTACTCAAACAGTATACTGACTAAGCGGAAAAACCCTTCGTTTATCCTCTTAATGCCAAATGCCAACAGGGTTACAACAAATATAATCTTTTAACGTATTTCGGTACGCCCCTGCAATGCTGTTGTAGAATGAGGACATCAGCATCTATCGTCCTTTCCTTTTGTTTGACAATCAGTGACTGTGAGGCATTAAGTGTATTTGCCTTCAGTGGCATTATTTCGAGAGTACATGGTCGGTCGTTTCTGAAAAAGACATTGTATGTGAATTTGTATGTCCCTTCTTTTCTGACAGTCCATCTTTAAGAGTGTTGGTTGGGTCAACTGTGTAACAAACTATTATTCCAATGAAACAAAACACGTTTCCTTCACATCATTACATGTGGAAAACACACACCTACTTTGTTGATACCTGCATGGAATGCCTTTGTTGACTCGTGCTAGATTTGAGACTTAAAGAAACACCATTTACGGTAATTTAACTATAATACTCGCAACGTAACTCAAATTGCTTGAGAGAGAAACAATGTCATGACATGGAAGAGTGTATGACATGATCTTTATTAACTGTACTATGACTTTAATAATGATCTTCATCGAGGACAGGTTGTTCCAGTGTGTCAGGGCTTGTTCAACCAATCACACACACCTGGTGTCATCGCTGAAACCCTTTGTTATAATACTTTTGAATTTGTTGTTTTCATATCTTTTTTACTTTGTTTTAAATTGTAAATGTCATAAGAAAAGGATTAACCTGTGCAATACTCTTGGCAGCTCATAGCAAAGCGATGCTTCTGATTCAGTCTTATAACATGCCTACGTAAGATGAAGTTTGGACAATTACTGTTGTGTATAACTTTATATTGTGATTCTCAGATACATAGTCTGCTTTTCAAAGGAGTTCAATACAGAAAAAAATGTATATCGAAAACGTTTACGCATACGAATTACCAATGGATGGAGATGCTTGATAGACTGTTTACATTGAATTTGATTTATTTCTTTTGTTATATCTGCTCTTTGTGTCTCTGACAATATTTAACCGTAATCTTATCAAGTGTATGCTCTGCTCAAGTGTCGCAGTCATAATCGTTAAGCGAACCCTGTCCTCACACTTATATATTGTAGGACAAATCGTTATACATTATATGAATTTATGCAAGAATATGTGATTTGTGTTATATCCATATAAACATGATTAACATTAACATTTAGGACAACTCGTTATACATCGTATGAATGTATGTAAGAATATGTGATTTGTGTTATATACATATGCTTCTTTGCAGGAAGGGGATGCCTCATTAGGTTACATCTGGGGTCAATGGAGCCGTTATCATGGACTCAACTTTTTTCACAAACGGATAAATATATAGACGAATGCAATGCTATTTTTGGAAACATTGATAATCAAAGTCCGATTCATTCACGTTACATCCGCAAGACGCTGAAAAGGATACGCCTCCAGTTGAATATGTCAGGCTTGGATATTAGGATATTAAAGAGATATTATCTTTCTGTCAATATTGCACTGGATTATAATAGTTTCAAAGATATCAACGTTTCATACATAAATCATTATCTTTATGGCGGTATTTAACGATGATTCAGAACCCGTGGTATTTCATTAACAGCTGAAAACAGAATTCCCTCTGTGTTCATTCATGGTTGAATATGTATAGCCAGAATACTGAAAGCATTTACTGGAATATCAGTAGAATATACAAATATATATTTAGTATAGATGTCTTAGAAAGGTCAAGGGAAATTCGTTTTTAGCCTTAACATGTGTCCATATCTTTTGTAAAAAATCCAGTCAACAATACATCGGATGGCTTCCCTTTAACATTCTCTGGACATAA